TTGCATCGTGCTCTTTCCCCCCGACAAAAAAACGCTCTCCTCGCCTTTTCTTTCCCTCCTTCTTCACCCTGCCACTTTAAATGCAGCGCTGAATCTCTGTTTCTAAATCCAGAAGCACTTTGGCCCTTTCCATTTTCCCTCTATGCTTCCCTCGACTCTCCTCTGCCCCATTCATCCCATCCCCCCCCCCCTCTTCCTCTCTACCATTTTATTTCTGCCCTCACTTTCTCATTTTCTTGAGGCTCATTTAAAATCTCTCATCATTCGGTTATCTCTCTGCAGCACGCAGCACATAATGAACTCCAGAAGAGATGTCAGTAGAGGCTTTAGTGTGCTTTGCTAATTTTAAACGTCTCGATGTGTGTGTGTTTATGCATGTTGTGCACATATTTAGATATTACACCAGTTCTGCACAGGCTTATTAGTTTGTAATGTAGCACCTAAGGGCCATCCTGTGAGAGCTGCAAGAAAACAGCCTCTGTTTCCTCGCAGCTTGTTCCTTGTTTTTCTCTACAATCCAGGAAAGTACACATGTACATAATTCAAAAACATTCGGAAAAAGTTCTCTATTGATGCATTCGTTGTTCAGGATTTAAAATACTTAAACACAAACCTTTTTAGTTTCACCCTCTCATGTCCTCTCAGCTCAGATTTACTGCAGTTAAAGTAAATTAATTCCAATGACGACTCAAAGTCATAGCAGGAAAAAAAACACATCAAGCATCCATTGAATCTTCTTAAGCCACTGCTGCAGCATGATTCACGTCTTTGCCATCGATCCATGAGCTCAATGTGTTCCCACAACAATCACTGCTTCCCCACCATGCTGTCTGATCTGAGGAACAAACTGCAGTTTTCAGTGTTTTCAGCTCTGCTGGGAAGTAGCTGGGCGTTTGGACGGAGTTATGGACCTGAGACTTGGACTCAAGCTGTGATAAGTCAAGCTGAGAAACAATCCCGGGTTAATGGAAAGGCATATTTGCTGCAGTGATTGGAGCGCGCTGCTTCAGGTTACATGACCTTAGAGTTTCATTGACACTAAATCTCTGCAACTGCAACAAAGGATCACTTATTATTATTATTATACCATTTTCTCATAAAATCCAGTCGTTCAGCTTGGATTTTCCCTCAAGGGGTACTTGAGACTTGCACATATATTTGACTTGAATTCTCCACAAAAGACTGTAGAGCAGTTCTGAGTTGAAGCAAACATCAGCGGGGGAGCAAATTATGCTGCAGGAGTTATTGAAAAAGTTTCTACAGAAGTTTTTTTTTTGTATTTCGGCTCCCTCAAAAATGGTGTCAACACTTGAATCCATTGTTCGTGATGTGAATCCCAGCGAGACAAGAGTTTGTGTAGCGGGCTCAAAAACACTTTCAGAGACACTTTTCAAGGCCGTCAGGGAGAGTGCAGTCGGTACTCCAAAGAATGAGGTTTGTATGGACTCAAAGGAATAAGGCTGCAGTTGTTTTTACACCAAGGAGACAAGGTTAATATCAGTGCTTTTACCACTTTATCACAAAGACGTGGTGATAATGAAGAGAAACAGCCAGTATGTGGGTGTGTGCTTGTGTTTTTATGAGCTGCAGGGGATGGATACTGCTGACTCAGCAGGGGGAGAAGTACTGCCATGTCACACTGTGCCCTTGTCAACACACTGTTTCAGCTTCCCTCCCCTGCATCTCTATGAAGTCACCCACTAAAGCTGTCCCAATCCTCAGAGGAGTTCAATTTAGGACAGAACCGCAGAAGAGGGGTTCTGCAGGGACGGCAATGTCAGGCAAAAGTCTTCCAAAAATTAAGTACAAGGACACGTAAAGTTACCTAACAGGTTAAGTCATTATCAGCTGAGCAAGTACGTGTGAGACGATGAATATCCCAAAGTGCTGACTGTGTTAAATTATGCGCCGTCTTTATTTAAATTTGATCACGTCTCCTCTCTCTCTGTCTTTTGCCATCAAGTATAGCTGTTCTGAATAGACTTCACTCTCCTTTCCAACCAGGAACCACAGTGTTTTTGTCTGCATAATAATGTTAAAAACGATCTTCTTAAGTGTGTGTCACCACCTGCAGCCTCCCCATACACACACACACACACACACACACACACACACACACACACACACACACACACACACAGGCTGGTTCTCAGTGTGCCAATTGTCTCTCCACTCTGCTCTCACGCCTTAGGCAAGGTTATCAAGGGAGCAGCAGACAACAGAGAGGGAGAGAGAGAGAGTGTAGTGGTGGTGTCAGCCCGTTTGTCATCAAAGATTACTTTGGTCATCAGATCAGCTGCTTTTTGTTGCCTTCTCTTTGTTTCCAGACTCCCTTTCTTCCATTCTAGTTTTTTTGTTTTCCTCCGAATCTGTTCGCTTTCAGTTGTAAAGACGGCAGAGAAGGTGCTCTGCGAAAGGAGGAGGAGGAGGAGGAGGAGGAGGGAGGGGGTAAAGAGAGGATGGGGATGGTGGCTTTACAAAGGGCGAGGGAGCCACTTCAGCCCTGATGAGCAAGAGGGAAGAGTGGGCAGGAGAGGGGGGGGGGGGGGGGGAGTCAGCTCACAGGGGGGCAGTGAGATAATCAGCACAAGGAGAACCATTCTCTCACTCAGCTGGAACAAAAGGTCTTTACCAGTGTGTGTGTGTGTGTGTGTGTGTGTGTGTCAGTATCCCAGTAGAGTCAGTGGGATAAAAAAACGTCCCAGGAGAGTTGGGGAGTGCTTTTTGCTTTGTTAGGCTGGTTTAGGGATACATTACCATTACCAAGTTACAGTTGATTTCTCGTGTGTGTGTGTGTGTGCACGTGTGTCTTACAGTCTGATCCATGCATATTGACTGCTGTAAAGGGCGGCGCCAGTAACACAGACTGTGCTGTGTTCGTCAGATTAGGCACACACAAATTCAGCAGCGGTTGAAAGTAACACAGTGCAGTAAATGTATAAAAGAAAGTGAATGTACTTCACTTCAATGCGTTCAGTGTGCCTGTTCCTCAGTTAGCCTACATTACAGGTAGTCACTCAAAGATGTTGATGTATGACCATCCCAGTGAACAGAATACACGACAGCCACATGTGAACGGACCTAAATGTCACCAACCCGTCCCACATGCTCGAGGTGAATACTCCTGGCACAGTGTTGCCTTTTCTTTCCTCTCATTGTCACTCAGCCAGGAGAAGGATCCAGATGCATATGTTGTTTAACATATTGTAAAATGTAAAATGCTGCTGTAACACCACAATTTCCCAGTTTGGGATCAATAAAGTAATTCTATTCTATTCTATCTATGTTGTGCTCTCATACTCTGTGTGGGTCATGTAATATGACTGCACTTACTTTTGCTCCAGGCTAAACCAGCCCTGAGCACAGTTACCTTTTGCACAGAAGCGATCATATCTTAATACTGGAATCCTGGATAGTCGAGGATTTTCCCAGAGACCTCAGAGGTTTTGTGGGTCTTATCCAGCAGACTGATCATTCATGTCTGCTCAAATGTTGAGTACCACACTCCACCTCTGCATGGGCTTGACAAGAACAATTTGCAGCTATTGTTGAGAAGAATGGTCGCATCGATTAGGCTTGGGGGGGGGGATCGTTAAGTGTATCCCTTGTCGAGGATCTCTGCTGTGGAAAATGTAAATAATCGTTTTTCTGCAGAGTGCAGGTCATCACTTTGTTTGCCGTTTCAAGAGCTTTAACATCAGGTGTGTTCATACATGGTGGATTTGTTCTTGGCAGATTTGACAAGTTTAAAAATCACAACACGCCCCCTTGCTTACAGTGCTGTGATATATCACTACGTTTTGCTATCACATCATATTCTTGCTAATAAGCAGTACTACTGTCACATCGTCTGAGGTGGTCTGACCACTTTTTCTTGCCAACTCAGATTGTAACAAAGACAGAATCCTCTCGTTACATCGTGGTGTTACTTCTGTTACTCAGCTGAAAGGTCTAAACACGTTTTACACCAGCGGCTGATGGACTGATGCAGATAGACAGGCTGAAGAGAGAGAGAGAGAGAGACAGGCAGGTGGAGGATTACGGGTCAGTGCAATTTCCTTTATCTGTCTTGCTTCCTGCAGGGAAGGTTTTAGGAGACATTAACTGTAAAACTGTCCGTCTGAGGCTTAAGGGAACAGAGATGAAGGTATTTCCAGTAATACCTTCATTTTGTCTTTCTCAACCTTCCTGCCGTGTGTACAAGCCGAATCGTTTTTATCTTTGTCATCTCTCGGTGTCTTTCTTTGCTTTTTTTTGTCCTTCCCTCCGCCCTCCTCCATCTGCCTTTCCTGTCTCTCTGCCTGCTTTTTGCTGCTCTTTATTATCTTTCCTACGGTGATACCACTACTGAATAGAGGGACTATTTTTTGTCCTTTGAGAGGGAAAGTAATTTGTATTCTGCCCATCTCTCCCTGCTGTCCCCTCCCCCCCCCTCTTTCTCCACAATAAGAAGTGATGCCACATGAGGCCAGGTTAGCGAGTTTCCCCCCTCCCTCCCTCCCTCTCCTGCTCCCTCCTCTCCTCGCTCCCTCCTCATTCACCAACAATGGTCACCTTCAAAAAGACCTTGCCATATGGACCAGACCATCTGGACTGTACCATGTTACAGGCGGTAGGGGATGGACTGTGAGCCCAGAAACTCTCAGTGAGCAGCTGAAGCGGCTTTAAAAACCTCAGCGTGCAGTCCATGCTAAGTTTCTAAAGACATTTGTTGGTGTTAAACTTGTGTGTTCTCATGGGAACGATCAGTAATAGTGCCCTCAATAATTCAGAGAGTAAATTCAATACCAGCTCCACCATTAAACAAACACACACATCACACTCTTCCAGGCCATTAGGGCTGCTGTTAAGTTTATGATGGTAATCACATCCACAGAAATGTCCACACACATGATGCAGCTAATACATAATTCACTGGTCTCCACTGGTGCGATACAAGAATCCATATTTCATGTGAACCTAATCTCCCTCTCCTCTCTCTCTCTCTGTCTTCATTTTAGGGATCGAGCTTTGCTTGCCAGGCTGGCGTTTCTCCATGACCATGGTGGCCAGTTTTCTGATGGTGGGCGGGCAGCTTCTGATGCCAGGGGTGGCTGCTCTGTGTCGCAATTGGCCCAACCGGGATGACTGGCAGGTCCTGCAGATCGTGATAATCAGCCCTTTCGTTCTGATGCTTCCTTACGTCTGGTGAGCACCACCCTCTGAGGAATTCCACAGCAGGGAGGGAGGGGGGCAGATTCTTCCTGCGCTGAGCCAGGCGATGGCTTGTACTGTACACACAGCGCTACACAGAGCTCAGCTTCTACTTACTAACAATACTGCCTTTCTTCTTTTGTTCTTCTTCTTCCCCCTTCTCTGTTTTTCCTTCTTGCTTTGACAAATCTTTGTCTTTGTCTTCTGTGTCAATGTCCCTCTCTTCCTCTTTTTCTTCCCCTTTCTGCAGGATTTTTCCCGAGTCTTTGCGCTGGTTGCTGGCAACGCAGCACTACAGGCGGTCAAAAGTCATGATGCTGCGCATCGCCAGGAAGAACCAGGTTGACATGACAACCGAGCCGAGCGGAGTTCTCGCAGGTGAGGGAGATTTCCAAAGGGACTTCAAACAAAATGAAACATTCAAAATCAATCTCCCATTGAGTTTTTCTTCGTTTTTGCATACAAATATGTTTTATTCTCCGTCCATGTTTGAGCATGTTCCAATACCTGAGGCATCAAATTCTGTCGCTCATTAAGATGCAAATAGCACCGTAAAGTGTCGACAAGAGACGCAAAAACTTAATTTGACTTCAGTCTCAGATATTCTCATTTATTGTCTGAAGATTACATCGCCTCTGGGAGTGATGTACGACTTCTCAGGGCTTCCGATGCAGCCAGCAGTTTGAGGAAAGGGACTTCCAATAAAGACTTCCTTTTCTGTGCGTTGTCATTGGTTACAATCCCACTAGCAAGGCTGCAAACAATATGCACGGTGCAGCAGTCCCAGTATAGAAACACCACTCCCCCCTCCTATTGGCTTGAGGTGAATTCTCCGGAGAATATCCTGCTGCGTTCTTACATCGGCTCACTCGGACTTCCTGTGGAAAAAATACTAGGAGGTCTGGCAGGAGAAACTCTGCGTAACAGCTGTTAGACTGAGAAAGTCGGCTTTGGATGGATCTTTGGGGGTATGTTTTAGACCTTTTTAGTGTCTTAAGGTAACAACACAGACCGTTAAGACTTTGACTTAGTGTTGGACGGGCAGAAACATCCATGTGACACGTAACAAACACTATCTCATGCGTCTGAATAAAACACTTGAGCTGATCAAAAACGGAGGTATTTGATGAGCCTGGGATGAATACATGTTGCTGTGTGGTGTTGCAGCTGCTTCTTCATGCATGATGAAATAGACATGCAACGAACATGAAGACACACATTCCCATATCAAGAATCTGAAGATTTTTTTGTCTTCATGGGTGTAAACATGTAGTTTTCAATCAGCCTTTGCAAACTCTTCATATGATGAAATGCTTATGCAATGAAGCAAACACAAACAGACTCTTTTAGATCTTTCCCTGGTGGAGAAATAAACTCGGACGTCTGCAAAATCCTCCACATATGACTATAACAATCAGAGAGTATTCTAGCATTTGTGATTCTTCAAAAAATAACAAAACCGAACGATATTAAATCTACATATTAAAGGTACTAAAACTCTGCATTTCTCCTGGATAAAAGACTTCAGCAATCAGCGAAACGATCAAAAAAGTTGATAATTATTTGTCTTGCAATCGTGCAGTCCTTATAGAAAGGACATATTAGTCATTTGCATGACTTAGATCTCTCCCTCTCTCTTCCTCCCCTGCCTTTTATGATTGAGTCAGTGTGTCTGCTTCTCCCAGAGGCCCTGCAGACAGGTAGATGATGAGAGAGTGGGCAAAGGGATGTCCTGTATCTTTCCAAAGGTCCCCTGGCACATGAGCTTGTCTGTCCTTGAGGTTCCCCCCAAAGCGGCCGGTTTTCTCATTACCTCCTGAAAGGAAAAGGTCTCAAAGGTGTGCGTTTCATGTTTTCCCCACCAGAGCTGGAGCAGGAGCTGCACAAGAAACCCCAGAGGACCTGCATTGTGAAGATGATGAGCACCAGGAACCTGTGGAAAAACATCGTGGTGCTGTGTGTCAACTCGTAAGTGTGTCGTGGGTTGTGGGTGGGCGGATTCTTTTCTAATCAAAGACAACAGTGTTGAGAGAGCATGAATTACTCTTGAGCTCATCCCCACGAGAGAAGTAAAGACGTGTAGCTGACTCTCCCTCCTTGTCTGCCTTCTTATTATTCCTTTTCATGTTTTTTTTCCTGCAGGCTGACAGGTTATGGGATCCACCACTGCTTCGCCCGCAGTATGATGGACCCCGAGGCGCAGCCAACAGCTTTGTGCCATGCGGACTATTACACCATGGCCGGCATCGCTGTAGCCACCTGCCTGGCCGTTTGCCCCGCGGTGGGGTTGATGGGTCGCCGTGGAGGGCTGCTCACCTTCATGATCATAACAGCCCTCGCATCACTTCTACAGCTGGGCTTACTGAACCGTGAGTAATCACAGAGAATTACACAACATCGCTAATTTACTGCTTGCTAGGTCAAGAAGCTTATCGGCCGTGTTTTACTTATGTACTGCTGAAAATTTCTAGAGAATTTCAGACCCGACTGCCCCTGAAATCATCCTGATTTGGCAGTTCACACAGTTCGCACCTCACAGCGGGAGACTACTTCTGTTTTCACATACTGAAACTCCTGAAAATATCTAGATCATTTCAGGAGGACTGCTCTGGAGATTTCCTAACCTGGTAGTTCACATAATGATCCTCACAGCGGGAGACTATCCTTCTCAGACAGGAAGGGGGGTGCGGGGGGGGGGGGGTCTTGCAATTGTGAAAGCCTTATAAGCCTTTCTAAAGCTACACCTACACACAGTTAAAAAAAAATGGTATGACTCTCTCAAAATGTGTGTTAACCTTTGGCAAATTAGGTCTTTAATTTGGGATGGAAGTAAACAAGAGCTGCTTGTCCTTTCTTAGCTGGCGCCCATTGATTTAGACGCACATATTACAACTTTTGGAGTCATACTCAGTAGCTGTAGCTAGCAAAATAAACCATGTAAGTTACCCGAGATGTTGGAAAATACTGCAAATCTTTAGCTGACACTCAAGTAGTTTTTTGCAGATTTTTTTCCAAATTGCACGAGGAGTGATGCTCTATAGTCATGATGTTTACACTTACTGATGCTATTATCATGCTAACAAGGTAGCTAGTCAACATTAAAAAGGAGTAAGGATGAGAGTTCCGGAGGAGGATCTTTTTATCCCTGGTGTTACTCTTTGGCACTACATGGAGAAACATGCTACGTGAAACCACATTTAGGCAAGACAAATAAGAGATCCGTGATATGTTGGACTCTTGAACAATATGTAACCAGTTTGTTTTTGCACATATGTGTGAATCAGGTACCAGGACAGAGATGCTAAAGTTACCCGTTCGCTTACATAAGTGCTCTTGAACATTTCCTATGACGTCACTGGTTCATTAAAAACAGCACAGACTGCAACTCTCTGTCGAATAGCAACTCCCCCCATTCTCCCTGTTTTGACCTACATATGCAGCACAGAAGTCATTATTTCAGGCTCCAGTGATAAACTGCTCTGAGTTCTCCTGAAGGCTGTTTTTCATTCTGCTCGTCTTGAGTCAGCACTGTGCCGCCCTTGGTGCTGACTAATGACATGTTCTGCTTTCTTTCCTCCCGCGCCCGCTGACGGAAACCAGTGATTGGGAAGTACAGCCTCCGCCATGACACAGGTACAGTTTAATGATTCAAGATGCAAAAAATAATTCAGAAAAGTAGCACATTATTTATTCAGATCCTTGTGTCCTGCTGGCTTTTTTTTAATTATCTGCCTGGGCTTTGTGGTGGTGGCAGTTTTTCTGGTACACTTAAATGTCTTTTTCTTCTCCTCTGGGCAGTTCTGCGAGACACTCTGAACAGGAAGTTCTCCGTGGCATTCTCCATCATCGGCATGTTCTCGTCTCATGCGGTCAGCACGCTCAGCATTTTCTTCTGTGCTGAAATCACTCCCACTGTCATCAGGTGAGGCAGGACGCTCATAAACACGAAATACGAGACTTAGGGGAGCCGTCTTACTTTTCATTACACCCACACATACAGCTGCTGATGAAGCACAGTGGGGGGAACAATAACTTCTTATTTGTAGCCCATACTGAACTCGATTTATTACATGCAGTTTAATTGGATTCTGCTTGTAATAAAACACACTGTAATGTCCACAAAAACAAAAATATGTTGAATATTTAATACAAAAACCAAGAGAATCAATGATTTTTTTGGAGGGCAAAAATCTCTCTTTGAGTTAAATTAAGATTTCAAAGTCACATCTTCTAGAAAAGAGAAATAGTGTGTGCACGTCTAAGCAAAATGCATACAGGTGCAGGACGAAAGAATGTACTTACTGCAGAAAAAAGAGAAAAGTCTGCATGCTGTTCAGCTTCCAATGAGCAACGTTTCCATCCAAAAGATCCACTCAAATTTTTCCCCTTGCTGGTAAAATTGATCAGTAAGATTATGTGAGTAAATGGTACATTTAAATGATTTCTACAAAGTCCTCTCTGTACTGTATGTTACTAAAGCTCTTGTTCTCGTGCTGCTTCTTGGCTCCACCTTGTGGTGTAGTTTTGACCGACAGGCCCTGGTGTAGTGCAGGGTATATGCAGGTATTTTTCAGTCTCCATAGGGTATACCCACTTCTAAATCTCCTCTGAATCACATCATTAATTGATGGACCACATTCAGTTTGATGCTGCAATTCCTAAAATGCTGAAGGGATGACCCTCCCTACTCTGTCTCTAATTGGCTAGCATGTGCACTAACTAAATCTGCCAGAGGAGTGTTGTGTCACTGTTAGTAACAGAGGCCGTTTGTCCTCTGCTGGACGGGACACTTAAAAAGAAAAATTAAGAGTATACCCACTTCTTCAGGCACCACTACACCAATGGTGATATGTGACTATAGACGTGATGTCCTTGAAAAGGTTCAGTGTGCTTTAAATCAAAGAGTGTCGTCCAAAGGTGCTAACAACCAAGATGGTGTTTTAACCCAATGTTTGGTTACATGTGAAAGAAGTCATAAGGAAGGGGGAGACGGGGTGAATGGATAATAGGGCGTTAAGGTTCACACTTTCAGAGCCTTTTAACCAAAAGTTTACTTTGAAGTTGACGAGGCGTGAGGGGGCTAACGTCTCCGTCTCTATTGAGCCGTTCATCTAAAGTGTAATGTTCCTGTTGATTGTTTTGGTGAGCCTAGAGTACCTGAGTAATTTACCTGCTCCACTTGTTCTCTTACCTTTGCAGGGGTGGAGGGCTGGGCCTGGTCCTCGCCAGTGCCGGCTTCGGCATGCTCACTGCACCCATCATGGAGCTCCACAACCAGAAGGGCTACTTCTTGCACCACGTGATCTTCGCCTGCTGCACGCTGCTGTGCATCATCTGCCTGCTGCTGCTGCCGGAGCCGCGGGGCCATCCTCTGCCCGAGAGCCTGGTCGACGGAGAGACCTTCACCCGGCAGACCCTGCTCCATCCAGGAGAGCAGCACCTCCTTCTCGCCAAGGCCGACGGGGACTACTCCAGGGTCCACGACACGCCCTTACACCTCTCAGCCACCGGGGGCGCCACAGTGGCTGTAGCCACCGCTCTGGCAGCGGTGCCTGCCTCGTACGCCCTGGCGACTGGAGGCGAGATTATTGGAAATCGTGCCATAGCCAATGGTGTGTGAGCACCATAGCAAATAGTCTACTACTGTGCTGTTAATTGCTCAAGCATTAACATGACTCAACAGGCTTTGAACTTTTCAACAACAACAAAAAAAACCTTTAAAAAGGGAAAACAAAATTATTCGGATGAACCAAATGAACTCTTTATTGTTGAGGTTTGAGGTGGCGACGATAGTTTCAATTTGTGTAGTTTTTAGTGACTATGATTCATTCAGGAGTTGCCAAAAATATTGTACTGGACTAAGTTTGTCTGAAGTCGGTGTGCGTTCAATAATAATATGAAAGTGTTCGGTGATTTTCTTGCACTGCGGTCCGCTCCGTCGAGAATGATCCACAGGGAAAAGAAGCAAGCGAGAGAAGATGCAGCGTAGAGCAGCTTTCCATGACGAGTGCTTTTGTGAGATTTTTCTGTTTGTAGTTTTGACTCGTTGAGGGAGGATCCCACTGCATCCTGTAACTCTTTATAAGTTCTTTTGCACTAAACTTCAGAGACACAATCAAGTGTTTGTGATTTGAAGCCAACACATTGGAGACGCAGGGATTGGCTAAACCACTACCACTCTTTTTTTGCATGAAAGGGCACAAAAAAAAAAAAACGTTTTACATGTTTTCTCTAGTTATTTGTGTTCCCTCTTCTAGAAGTCCAATGAGGCACTTTATCCTCAGAGGTTGAGGTCAGTGAAGACACTGATTATTGTTGTTTTTTAAAGGAAGCATTACTGCTGTCGGTGTGGGTGTATGATGGTTGTCTGATGATGAAGAGCAGCCGGAGACCTTGGCAGACTTTATGTGTAGCCTATAAAGACTGAGAGTAATGCAAAGCAAATCTGAGAGTTGAACGGACATCAGAGCGTACCGCTGTATGTCTTATGACACATCTTGGCATTTGAAGGCTTTATCATGACGGCTCTGTTCTTTTTTTCAAAAAACGAAGCAGAGAATGTAATTAAAGAAAAAACCAGTATTTATTTTCATGTCGTGCCGCCAAGGGCAAATTTTTGTCGCTTGAAATACCTCCTTAATTAGCAGAGATTTCCACTCCACCTCCTCACTCCTCGTCCTCTGTACCGTGGTAACGTCGTAATCCTTCTCCTAGGATGTGTTAACTCTAGCCAGAAAGCACAATATTTTACAGTTTTTTGAAATAAACGTTTGTGAAGATTATAGAGTAGAGCAGCCTGGTCTGCCCTGGCCTAGTCGTGATTAGTGTACATTTATACACTTTATGTAAGTATCCTTTAGGACTGCAAAAAACATGTGCGCTGCGTACACATGTGCCATATTCATAATGTACGCACCATACTTTTATAGGATATAAGAACATCAAATAAACCATGCCATGATCCATGAAATGTCCCTGAATCCACCGGTCCCAAACATTGTTCATGTTTAGTACTCAGCACGTATTTCAAACCCCCCGTATGGTTTGCTAGTTTGTATGTTTTCATTAGTAAATCACTCCGAGAGAGAGAGAGAGAGGAAAGAAGTCAACCACTAATGCTGTTTTCTAAGTGTTATTTTTTTAATATGATGCATTTGTACAAAAAGCCATAGGCCTACATGTTTTGATAATAAACCACTTAATTTATTATGTCAATAAAAGAACACTTGATGTGACTGTTTGTGGTTCATTATGTCAGAGTGCATTTACAGTATCGGGGAAAAAAAGGGGCAGCAAACGTTTTTCAAAAAAAAAAAAAAAAAGAGACGCTCAGGAAACGATGATGTGAGTTCAGAAGTGCTCGGGGTGAAGCTCCAGCTCCTTTTTGATCCTGTTCTCCACCAGAAGACCGAGACTGGAGTCCGTCATGGGAATACTGTAACTCACAAAAACCTGCTTTTTGGTCCTCTTCGCTGCAAAACAGACAAATAAAGACGATTAAATCACTTCCCAACACTCAGGAGTTTAGATTAAACATAAAAGTGTTTGTTACACAAATGAACAGCCATCTGAGCCACCAGGCGCTCCATGGTTATCTTAGCTTAGTTTGTTTACTTAAATGCTGTCGTGGCAATACTAGTGTTGCAGCACTTGAAATCGGTCTCGGTTTCTAGTCCAGTCCTGAGACCACTTCTTGAAGGTTCTCAGTCTCGTCTTGGAATCGAAAGCATTTTTACTCTCAGACTGGGCGGACTCCGGACTTTTTTTCTTTTGTCTTTTGACTGTCTTTTTCTGCCTTGACACAAAGTTGAGTTTAAATCAAATCTGGTCAAGACCACCACCGATAGGCTGTTTTTGCACGTCATCACTTTGATAAGACGTTTCTAAAAAGAATAAATAATTTAAATTCATTCATAATTTGATTTTACCCCCCGGTTTGACGCCCCCTGCACATAAAATGGTGATTTGTCAGTGATATTTATGGTCTTGGTCTTGTCTCGGTCTCGGTCTCGCCCCCGCCGTGGTCTTGGTCTTGACTCGGTCTCTGTCTTGGAGCACTCTGGTCTCAGGTATGTCTTTGTCTCGGTTAGTCTGGTTATGACTACAACACTACTCAATACCAACAATACTCCACAGCCTGCCAGAGGCTTCTTTTGTTTTTTGCACATGACAAAAAGTTACTGGCTGTAACTGGCTGTGTGAGGTATCACTTTGCGTAAACAGCTTGACATCTGAAACCTAACAAAGCGAGGATCATTCATTTGTGCTTCCTAAGTAGAGACTTTGAAAACATATCTCTGTATCCAGCTGCATACACAAACTGACAAAACCCAACAAAGACTTCACAAGTCTGTCTTTGGAGGATGACTCCACTGAAGCAAGTTTCAAGATGCACATTATTTATTCATTGAGATAAACTGGGACCAGCAGTCGCTCTGAAAAACAGAACAAAAATCTGCAGCAACATCATCAGATAGTCTGCAGTAAAGATGATTATTATGGGATATTTCTGCCTATGACGTACACACATAATCAGGATAACTGCAGAGAGTTTTACAGCCTTTAAATCACTTTCCAGCATGAGGGCGATAACAGAACAGTTTAATGTATGCACACATTCATCATGCAGCGTTACCTAATCTCTGAGCCAAGGAGCTTGCAGCAGTATTGGACGGGTCCCCCATGACTAAAGTGGATAAAGGCATCGAATCCTGCAGACAAAAAGCAAGAAGGAGAACAATTAAGTCCCTCTGCAAGGACGCAATAATTAACTCTTAACTCCTAAATGAGTCATCGCTTTCTTAAACATCCATGTTTATTGGTTTTGGACACATTTGGGACTTTTGGGGATTAAAGACAGTTGAAGTGTTTTTATGTTTTGTGTTGTGCGGACCCCCTCTCATGCTCAAATACTAGTCACTACGACCATTAGTCAAGATTATGGTCAGGGTCCCCACTATTCAACAGACATTCAGGACGACATGACAACTTTTCTCGCAAGCTGAATTCGTCCAAATCACAATAAATGTGTCCCACCTGTTCTTTCTGGTATTAGGACGTGGACGGACAAATGGACAAACTCCATTTTATGTTACTGATAAAGTGCTTCAATGTCTAAATTAATGTCAATAAAATAATCATCTTTTATCAACCTAACCATGTACCAACAAATGAACTGCAGCAGCCTTGTGCGGCTGCATCAACAGTATGAGGGGTAACCTTTATTTTTAGAAGATACTTTGATGTAAATATTTTTTAACACTTTTCTTTGCAGGTTATTTTATTTAAAGGGGACATATTAAAGATAAATTCACTTTTACTGTGTTTTTGAACATATATTTGGGTAACCTGAGGGTCTACTGACCAACAATATGTGAAATAAATCCATCCAGTCTTTTGTTTGTGGTCTGCATGAGTCTTACAACACAGAGAAAAATGCTCTGTTTCAAATTTTCTCTCCTTGTGATGTCACAGTGGGATTCTGGTAAAAAAATATATATCCTCCCCTCCCCAGGTATCTCCACACCCAGCCTAGAGCTAAACTTTTGCTCACCTTTTTTTTGTCCACCATTTATAGTCTCTCTACAGAGGAGTAATGTCTACCGGGAAAACTTGCATTTAAAGAGACACACACACCAAAACGGAGCGTTCTGAGAGAGCTGGTGTAGACAGGGTCACAAACTTCCTCTGGTGCTTGATTCATGTTATATTTTGACCAAAGCACAGCACAGATGTTTCATTTAGATCATGGATGGGCAACTTTGGTCACAGCAAGGGGCCACATTCATTTAATTCTCACTGCCAGGGGCCAAATTGTAGAATACAAAAAAGATTACAGTCAATTATGTCTCAAATTTATCTCAACATATACCAGTGATCAAATATTATTATGGACAAATTTCTGGTTTTCATGATTTCATGGCAGACTTTCTCATCTTTTCTTCATGTTTCCAATTAATTGATATGTCAAAATTGACCTGAGGGCCACGTTGAGGGTTGATGGGGGCCGCATGTGGCCCACCCCTGATTTAGACCACAGGAGACTGTTTGAAAAGGTGGAGAAGGGGGATAATAATATGTCCTCTTTAAGTCCAGTGTATTGTTACAACATCTATATCTAGGCTAACTATCCACAGTAAATGTGAAAACTGAGATCAGTATTGATTTCTAAACTACCTGCAGGACACACCTGGTGTTCTTCCTCCGTTTTGTGCATAACTTTATTCAGCAGGAATCATTCAGGTGTGTTTACTCACAAATTTGCTGCTCATGGAGACCGCCAGGTTGGACAGCACCGGAGTGGATCCGACCCACAGGAAGAACCCCCCGCTGAGCTTCATCACGTGGAAGTGAACGACCTGCTCCGAAATCTTCTCCGAGAAGTTGTGCACCGTCACGGCATCGGACGCCGCTCCGTTCAGAGTTTCAGTCATTTTTTGTTTTTTTTGTTCAAACTCAAGCTGGCTGCAGGAAACAACCATCAAATCACAAACTCATGCGAGCTCACTGTAAACAGCAACAGCCACTTCCGCGTTTTGCAGTCTAGAGCAACCGATCGCCGATACTCAGACTGAGGGAGTAGCACAGGCACAAATGATCATGCGCACTGAGGCTACAAAGAGTGACACAATATTAACTGTTAAAATTTCACAATAGTCATAAATCAATATCTGAAAAGGTCCCAATCCGCCCTTTGTTTAATTATGATCCACTTTTATTTGATCATGTATCCAAAACATTAAAGATAGAGTCCGAAGCTTTTTCCTAAAACATGAAGTATAGACTCAAACTAAAGTAAAGCTGCTCAGTCATCACTTCTGGGCCTCCATACATGTGTGGTGGTGATTGTATCTACAGAGACCCTGTCCTCTAAGTGGATTTTGATGTTTTTGGTTGACTGGGTGCTGCCATGTGATTCAGTTGGTGATGAACCAATTGCAGAACTGCAAATTTGTGGAATTCAGAAAATCATAAATGCTATAAGTTATATTGGCACTTTAATTTTGCAGCTGGTGAAGATAGAGCTCATTTCCACATCTTTATAAACTTCCTTGACCAGCAGGATACCCCGTGCACAGCCAACCTATGTTCTCAGGTGACGGTCGGTTGCAGGAACATACAATGAAAAAATAAATAAATAAACCGTAACACGCAGAAAATAACTCCACTGTCAATTTATTAAGGTTTTAAAGTGACAGTTAAGTTATCTTCAGTGTGCCACAGATTATTTATTTACTTAGTTTTAACTCAGTTTCTTTCCACTCCTGTAAAAAAAAAGTCACCCCCTCGCTTTATACAAATTTATTTGTAGGAAAAAAACATCTTATGGAAAGCAATGAAAATATTTCACATTGTAGCTACAGAGCATGATGGAAATAGAATTTAAATTACTGAAAGCATTTCTTCTCTTAGTGTGATCATTTCCAAACGACGACTGGTCACCTGGTTCATTCTCTACAAAACGATCAGTCTTTATTTCGCAGCGTTAATTCATCGCTCTCCGTCTTCCAGGAAGTCTTCGGCCAGTTTGTTGAATTCATCGGCATATCTCAGGTGCAGGTTGTGTTTACCTTCTGGCATCAGGTGTAATCTACATTTGGGAAATAAAAGGGATACACGTGGATTTATGTCTTTTTCTAATTGAAGGTCATTTAAAAAAAAAAAAAACGACTTCTTAGTTTGTGAGTTTGTGTCTCACCGTGATCCTTTGATGTGCTTAGAGAGGAAATGCGCATGAGAGTTTGGCACTATGGGGTCTTTCTCTCCTTGGACGATGAGGGTCGGACAGCGGATTAGAGGAAGCAGCTCAATGCAGATACTCCCTGAGCAGAAGGAACACAAACAGCTTTAAATGTGTGGCATGAATACACTCCTTAAATGGTGATAAGCATCTCAGTGAAAACAGACTGGGTTCAAACTTCAGGAGGCTTTCTTTAAGACGTCTTTATATCACTGAGTAATAACTGCATCTCTTTCTTTTATTTCTTCAGGATTTGAGTGAAAGATTGTTCACTTGTGTATCAACTGTCTGCATCCCCCATGTGCTCAGCACCTTCTGGTCTCTTTGAAAACTGTGCGAATCCATCCACCCACGCCCCCCAGTTTTTAGCGAATGTTTCCGCTCCGTACACCTCCTCCAAGGGCTGCCTCATCCTCGCACTCCACTTGAAGACATCACGGATCCCTACGTGCACACACACACACGTAATGTTGTTTAATATATTACACAGCTCAC